AATAACTTTAAAGAATGTAACAGGCTGGTGTTACAAAATACTCCATGCTACAAAGAAGGAAAAGCTGTAATGAACAGTTTTTGGCACTGTAACAGACAGGCATTTTGAAATGCCTATCTGTTACAATCCCAAAAAACTGATTTCTACAGATTTCCCTTGGTTGTAACAAGCAGGCGTTTTAAAATGCCTTTCTGTTACAATGCTAAAAACTGTTTATTTCAGATTTTCCCTGGTTGTAACACAGAGCGTTTCAAAATGCTCCATGTTACACCCAGGAAAATCTGAAAAAATATAAATTCTTGAGTGTAGCAGGCAGGCGTTTTGAAACGCCTGCCTGCTACACTCAAGAAAAGCTCATCAAAAATGTTTAAAGTATAGGCGTAACTACAGAATGCATTAAAAACGCATTCTGAACGCATCTCAGAAAAAACTGTCAGTACAGCAACAAAGAAAAAAAAGAAAGGCGTTTCAGAAGAAGCTGGGCATAACAGTGATGCATAACAAACGCATTTTTTAATGCGTAACTGTTATGCGCAGCAATACCTGTAACAAATTATTTGCTGGGTTTAGTTGCAATTTTTTAAATCCTGTTTTTTCAAATGACGAACAGTGACTTTGAAAACCGAGATATGTAGTATATTATACTGTATTTCAAATTCTGAATGATGCGATCTTTTGGGTGTGAATGAAATTGAATTTGATTTGATCACGCTTCGAGTTCCAAAAAGAGGGAAAAAACCGCATTTTTTGGCAGTATGAATTATACATTTGACGTCTAACCTTGTTGCTTATATTTTTGGCTCTGTCAGCATAAACCAGTGTGTTGAAGGATTCTTCTCGCTGGACAGCAGATGGCGCTATGTGCGCGATCATGACGGTTTTGCAATTCCCCGACAGGGCGTCTTTCAACAGCCTTGTCAATTTTGAGTCCCTGAAGTTGACATATTTGGCGTCACCTTTCGCCAAGGCATTGATGCAATTTGCCAATGCCAGCAGCGATCTGTTGATGTGTGCTCCCTCGTTCAGCCTCTGACCTCGATTCTACATACCATATGGGAAAGTTTTCGAAAAATACCGAAATAATATGCTTGTTATTCAGTTTGAAATATTGCATGGTGTCTATAAAGCCAAAATTCTAAATCTTATTTCTATTCTCAGTTTCGTTCTCCGTGAATTCGTCATGAAAAATAAATGTATTTTACAAGTGGAGCTTATACTCTATATTATCGCTCGTAGTTAGGAAAAAAGGCAAAACTAGTGTGACTTGTTTAAGAGTTAATGTCTTAATGCAATACACAAGCAAATCAAGGTGTTTTTTTTTGTCAAGCTCGTAAACCACATTTTCCTAAATTCTCGAAACTTTTTCAAGTACAATTGGACCTATATAGCTGGCGAACTCAAGCCTCGGCAAGTCAAATAAAACGTCCCCATGATAATTTTTTTTCTTTGTCTGCATTTCCTTAATA